TTACGATTGAAAGCATCTTTTGCATGTTGAGCAATTCTTATTATTTGTGCAATCGTGCTGTGGCCAGCTTTGAAACCGTACTGTTCCGCCGGAATAATCGTAGTGTCTTGTTCGTATGTATGTAGCCTCGTGAGCAGGACACGATCTGTAATTTTGGCTAAGCCGTTTAGGAGAGATATAGGGCGGTAACTCTCTATATCGAATCTGCTCTTACCCTGCTTATGTATCGGGACTACATTTGCAACTTTAAATGCATCCGGATACCACTGAAGTTTGATGATAGCATTGATTAAATAATGAATTTGTACACACGCTTTTTTTGACAGATTTTTTAATAATTTGTTATGTATTTCATCAGGTCCTGGAGCCCTTTTACTGGGTGACTTTTTGATAATATCTATAATTTCCCTAGGTGTTGTGAGAGAAGTGGGAGGGACTTGTTGTGTTGGCATTTGCCTGATTTCTTCTACTAATCTAGATATCTCTTCTTGTTCTATGTTATTTATATGATTATTTATGAAATTACCTTGGAAAAATTCACCGAACGCTGTGGTTTTTTGTTCGTCTGTCGTGTACGAGTTGTTATTGTGTTTCAGTGTGGGAAGCTGCGAGAACGGTTTCTTATACCGCCTCACAATTTTCCACACTGAGTTGTCTTTTGTATTGATCGCCTCCAGGGTCCTGCGCCATTTTAGGTTTCTGAATTCTATGATTTCTCTATTGATGGCTTTACCCAATTCTTGAAACATGACCCTGTCGGCGGCTTGTCGGTGCGTCTGCCAACGTCTACGTATATAGTTTTTGTTAGTTATGAGGTCAAGGATCTCTTGAGGAAGATCATCTTTTTGTGGCTGAAGAGTGACTAGTTTAGTGGAACTATTTCTGGCTTTTATTATGGCCTCTGTCAGATGAGTGACTTCTTCCTCAAGAGTATGCCTATCGATAATGTCGTTGTTAATGTCGATGTTTTCGTCTAGTGTTTTCCTGTATTTTGTCCAGTCCGTTGTTTTGTAGTCATAATAACGACCCTGTGTCCTTGGTATCATACGCGTTGTGCCTATCTCCAAGTACACAGGATCGTGATCAGAGGTAAGTGTTTTAATTGTCCTAGTATTCTCCACGTTAGGTATGTTTTTGGCAGCCGCGATGTCAATTGTGGAGGGGGTATGTCCAGGAGCGGAAGGGAAGTGGGTGGGGTCTTCTGGGTAGTGTATTATGATGTCATTTGCGTCGGCGAATTCGTCCAAGTTTTTACCATTTTTATTAGGTTTAATACAATTGGAATCCCAATGAGGGTGCTTACAATTAAGGTCACCCAGTAACAGGACTCTATTCCCTGATGCCATAATTGTATTGAGTTCATGCTTAGTAAAAGGATGGTTAGGGGGGTTGTATACCCCAACGAAAATTATGTTATTGATTTTAACCCTTAGATGTTCTTGTGAAATGCTAATGTTAATTAAATGTTCATAAGTAATATCAGATTTAATACAGAAAGCTACTCCACCCAATGACTGACCCGGTCTGTCATGTCTGATGATGTCGTACCCGTGTATTTTAATTTTGTCTGTTTGTTTGTAATGAGTTTCTGTAATAAGTACGATGTCAAAATTATGTTTATGAATGAAATTTCGAACAAGAGGTGTTCTGTTGCGCATCCCATTTGCATTGTAAAAGCAAATTTTAAGTTTATGTTTGTTCCTAGAATTGAATTCAGTTCCTAATATTGAATGTGTTGTCTACGTTACTCATAAACGCGTTATATGTCTCAATGATTTGTTGACCCGATGTACAATTTATAAGTTTGGCGTTTAGTGCTCTGATCGCCCTTGTAAGCTCGCCAATATTGACTAACCTGTTTAAAGTTTCAAATTCGTGGTTTAATGCCGAAAAATCATCCATGTTAGAATTAGGGGTGGTTTGCCTTGGTCTTTCTGCATTCGTCTTCTTTGCTTGGTTTGCTTCTGATTTCATTGTGGGCAGGGCCGGGAAATCATTAGTTTGGTCTCTTGTCTGTTTCCTGGCCTCCCATTGGTTAATGGCCGGTTTGGGGGCGGGGACATATTTCTGCCTGGGCTTTGGCTTTCTCTCTTCGAGTCTTTCAAGTTTTGTCAAGTAGGCCTCGCATTTCGAATAATTTGCCGGGTGATCACCCCCACAGTTTACGCAAATTGCTGGTGTATCTCTAGTTTTAGCACAGGTTCGGGTGTGGTGATCACCCGCACATTTCACACACTTGGACGGTCTGCCGCAGTTGGAAGTGGCGTGCCCCCATTGCTGGCAGTTATGACATTGTATAATTGCCTTCGTTGACTTGCGTAGCTCCCACGTAACCCTTGTGTACAGGACCCTTCGTACATTCTTGTTAAGATAATCTAGGGTTATCGCGGGGTCGGTCACTACCAGAAATAGGGGCCTGTCCTTGGTTTTCATTTGGTATATCGAGCGTGCTTTAATTTCGTGTTCATCTTCGAGGTCAATTTCTATTTGCTCTATCTTAGTGCCTTCTGCTAGCCCGCGCAACACAAATGCGTGCGATTTATCTTCGTTGGCGGTGTACGTATGGAATGGGATTTTATCACTCTTTATGTTGGTTAAGACTCTGTTGTGATCTTCCTTATCATCAACGAAGATAGTCGTAGTGGCATTTGTGTGCTTTACACTGAAATCACCTTTTACTTGAAGTTTGAGGTCATGGATAAGGGACGATTGGTTTTTCGTCTTGCTATCAATGACAATGGGGGGGCATCGTTTTTTTTGTTGGTTTGCCTTGTATGTTACCTGTGTTTTTCTTGTTATTTGCATTTGCATTTTTGTTCGGTAGTGCCTGTGCTGTTGCGTTGTTCTGTGGATTGTTAGTGTTGGAGTTTGTGTTTAGGTTCTCCATGTCTAGGGGTCTATATTTTGCACCCTTTTTCCTCTTTTTGACAATTCTGTCAATTTCATCCTCGTCCGTATCTGCTTCAGATTTATCTGTTAACGGCTGGAATTTATTGTTAGTGGGTGTTATTGTTTGTTTTGTTTTTTGTTTTATTAATTTCTCAAAATTAGAAGAGAATTTCTTTGGAGCGATGAATGGTTCATCTATGCTGGCTTTCTTAGCTGCTTCTATATCTCTGAGCTCTTGCTCATACCTAGCTCTTTCTGTTGGCGTTCTATTCTCAAAAAGGCTGTTCGGGGAGCGAGGTAACCTTTCATGGTTGTCCTGAAATCTCTTTTCATCTTCTGAGGTCATGCTGGATTCATAACCGAGTATATTGTCAGCAATTCTACTTGGCATACCTGTTCTTCTGATTCTAGGATCATTTGCTGGGTATCTTTTGTTTATTGCTCCTGTGTTTTTGAGCTCTACTGTATTCAGGTCTATTTGAGTACCAAGTATGGGAACTAGGGGTGAGGGATTGTACCCAAATTGGAAGCTACTCAGTTCACCTCCGCCTTGGGCATTTTCCTCACCTCCAGTTTGAGAGAGGGAGCTTGTGTTTGTATTTCCACTATAGTTATTTGTATTAAAATCAAGCAGGTTTGTCATTACGTTTGGGGGTAGACTTAGGGTTTTGTATTGATTACCAGTGGCATCAGTAACATATGATGACACAAATTTATCTGGGGACTTTTCGCCAGGTTCTTTTTTGTCTGTTTCAACCATCGTTATGTCCATGTTTTCTTGGCTGTCTATTGTATTCGTTGATTTTATGGAATCGTCCGATTTTTCCAACTCATCAATCAATTTTTGGACCGTGTCATCATACTTTTTCACGTGACTGTCTTCTGAATTTTTTTAGTGTAGCTGTTTCCACAACGGAATCTGAATATATGGCCCTCTCGTTATCAACTCAACAACTAATTAATGCTTAAATATTTGAAACACAAGGATATGCCTATGATACTGTGTGATAATCAAGCCTCTATACATATAGCGTCCAACCCAGTATTACACCAGCGAGGCCATCACATAGATGTTCATTATTATTATGTAAGAGAGAGGTTCATGGACATTGCAATAGACATCCAGTATGTCTTAATATAGCAGACATGCTAACGAAGCCAACTGGTAAGGAACTTTATAAATATTTTCTTGAGAAATTTACAAAAATCATCACTGAGGGAAAGTGTTGAGTATGCAGCTCTGATTTTGTATATCATTTTTATTTACACTTGTTGATTATGTTGTCTAACTAGATTGTAAAAGGTTTTTTGAATAGTTGTCAGTTTTTTTGATTAAATAAAAAAAGTCGGAAGCAATATATTTTATTCCAAATATTCAAAATTGAGAACCTCCTCCTTTTTTGAAGTCGGTTAAAAAAGAAACGCCAAACGTGAATTAAAAAAAATTCGAAGGATTTGTCAGCTAGATTTGTGAAGAAAATAAAGCGTTATGTATTTTTATATTGAATGTGAATCGGTATTAGATAATAAAAAGATAAAAAAGAAACAAGATAAAATTTATTTTACATTATTGAAGAATTGAAGCAGAGTATGGGTAGAAGCAGTTATATTGGTATAGGAGAAATAATCCAAGGTGTGAGAAAGCAGAGAAGAACGGCGAAGTGCGGAAAGGAAAAGAAATCTCAATAGATATATACATTTTATTGATATTAATATTTTTTTTTTGTTTCAAAATTAAATGTAAGACCATCAAATGTTGAGTGGTCATACGTAAGTAACCAGCGTTCATGTGCCAACCTGTGACCGCCAGCCACAAATAACCCGCACGCGGGATGAATTTAAAATGCACGATTAAAGCACGCACCGATAATCGAGGTTCTACTGTACTTGAGTTTGTTTACTTAATAATTACTGTGATGTGATGACTTCATTTTAACTATAGATTTTCGATTGGATATACAGGAGTAAATCAAAATATTCAAATACAATAAGCTATTTTACTATGTAAAAAAAAGTAAAATAAACGAAAAATTGTTTAATAATTCTAATAAAATACAATAATAATAATCACAAAACTAGATGAAGAATTCATACTAACATTTCAAGAACGTAAAACGGGTAAATTGAGGAATATTTAGTATTTAATCTATGTATGAAACAAAAAATTGCAGCAAATTTAGCTTTTGGATGTAATACAATTTTCATTTCAGAATTCTCCCCTACTCGGACCGTTAATAAAGTAACAAGTATTAAAAATTATTATTATTAAACAATCAATTATATGATCTAACTTTTTGACGATTTCTGCATCAGTTATATTCGGAACTATTTTCTTCCATATTAATTCCTTCTTTTTCTATAAACTCCATGTCTGAATCTTCCTCAACCAATTCAATTTTAAGGTTCCCATTTTGGCTCATGCTGTCATCCTGACTTAGGCCTTCAAACTGACTGAAAGCACCGTCTTGACTGTCTTCATCGGTTACTTCTTGCCTTTGTTCTTCGTTCAACAAATCTTTATGAGAAATTCTGTTATGCATGGACAGAATGTTTTCTTCTATAAACGTCTTATTGCAAAATTGACAGTGATAAGGGCCGCCGTGAGAGAGCAGGTGAATTTTTAGATTGTGTGTTTTCGAGAAACCTTTTTTGCAGTATTTGCAATGATATGGACGGTAGCCGGTGTGAGTGTATTCGTGGCATACCACCTAAAAATTAACATTTCAATTTTAGTTTGCTCAATTAAACAAATATATTTGCATCTAGTGATGTAAATTTCTCAAGCACGTATTTTTTGAAAACGTTTCCCCAGCACAAACGAGAACAAATGAAAAAAAAAAAAAAAAAAAAACGAGAATTTATGAAAGACACCGCCGACATTCAGACTTAGAAAAAGTGATGCGTTCAATTCCATTACAGCTAAACGACTGTGTACGTTTAGCGCATAGTACCCTTCGAGCAAATATATTCGGAGCTAGTATGTCATAAATATATTATGCCTGGCATCACTCTACGATTTGTCCGATCGGTGGTCGATTATTGTGTACAGCTTAATTTTAGCGTCTTCTAATTGGCTGAATCGAGCCTTTCTCACATTTCTATTTGTAATAGACCAGGATAGCCCGCAAGAAACGCCGGTCAACGTGGACTGAGATATCCAATCTTAAGTCTGTGATTTTAATCAAATATATGAAATTTTATTAAGATTACCATTTCAACGTTAATGGTACAATTAAATGAAATAAACAATTGGTATTTATGGTGTTATAATAATGGATAATGCCCCTTACCACTCTCGTCAAACTAGGGAAATTCCAAAAGCAAAAGCTCTAAAAAAGGTAATTTCCGCATTTTTGTACAAAAGGGGTGTATCATATCCACCTACAGCTTAAAAAAGGCATTAATCTCAAACCTAGCTATGTTGTGGATTAGATGGCTACGGCATTCGTTCATACCGTAATACGTTTACCACCGTATTATGGTACATAATAGAATAGAATTAATATGGAGCGATATCAAAAGGGAGGTCTGATAAAAGTTAATCCTGAGTTGTCTGAAAGCGTTTTAGATGTTATCAGAGAAGTTGTTGGAGGTATATCTCAAGAATTATGGTCCAGTTGTGTTCTCCGTGTTACCAAAATTGAAAATAACCATCGAATATTTCCGGCTCATTCTTGCATTATAAACCTGAATAACACGTCAAATGAAGATGATAGTTCTGATAAGATTTGATTTTCCATTTTGGTTATATTTTTACGTTACTGAACGTAACCACGCAGTTGGTTTGTTAATTTGGAAAGAAACATGGTATATTTCCTGTTTTCCTTCACTAGGAATGCAACCTTAACGTGTTGAGAATCACTTTAAAAATGAAAGCCAGACTAATACATTCCACAGTAATTTAATTTTTTGATAATAAGAGATAATTAATAAAACAGTTTTTCAAGCTTGGATTTTTAATATTCAATGTAATATTTAAACACTTCAAGTAAATAAAATAATAGATGAAATAATATAGTTTCATGGTAATTTTGATTAGGTACTAATGATCATGCGCATTGAGTCGTTTTCAGACGATGCTGCGTCATTAAACAGTGCCGGATGTATTTCCAATGTTGAAATTATTTTTTTCTAATTAGGAGTTTTGATTTTCACAAACATATATTACATTCAGCGCTGGGCTCACAGGTAATTTTAATCAGTCTTAATGCAAGTATAGTAATAGATAGACGGTTATTATTATTATTATTATTATTATTATTATAAGTAGTTTATTATTGAGGCCAAATAATGCCAGTTTTTGTCAACATTAACTGGATGGACTAATATACGGTTAACGGAAAAATATGTACAGTTAGTTTACCAAAATTAATGTGTGAATAAAAACCCAAATAGGTTTTGTTTATACAGCTATAACTACGCTTTTTAATAGTCACCTGGGCAAGATCTGCTAATTGTTGTTGTTTAATGACAGATATAAGACGGGTGCAAAATAAATGGCACAACTACACTGATATGTATTTGCTTGTCCATGTACGCATTTTATTTGAAATCAATTGTAGATATTACAAAAATACATAAGTTTTAGATATATCATTACTCTCACTATAACTTTAAAGTGGATTATTGGTAATGCAAAAGAATGAGCCTAGAACTTTTTCTTCTGATAGATATTCCCAATTTCAGATTGCGCTTTAGCTATAATAAAAATATTTCACTGATTATTTTTTTACTCGAGAAGGTTGACAAAATTTGTCAAGATTATTCACGCCACATAAAAATTGTGATATTCTTTTTTGCAGACAAGAAAACAGTATTGAATAAAACTCATGCCAAAAGGCAATTCCATATAGCTTAAGTGGAGCGTAATATACACTTTCAGCTGGTTTAAAACCTATTTCTTTTGCCACAGTTCTGAGTCCAAAGCATCCAGAAGAAAGTTTTTTTGTTTCGCAATTCTACTATATGATTCTTACATTTCTAATTATTTTCAAAATTAATGCTTAAAGTTTTATTTTGTTTTTAAATTAATTTATTTAACGTCGGCCTATTTCTAACTACGAAGTTTAAACATCGACGCTGGTGAGCACGCTTCCTCCAAATACCTGGTGTTCCAAACAGAGGTAGGGAACTTTAACGGGTTCAACATACATAGACTCGGAACTGACAGTTTTATATCTCCTTCGAAAGATGATACACCCCACGATATACCTCATACTCATTTATATAGCTTCTGTCATATGTGGTATGCAACAACGCGGGCAGTTTGTTTGGGCTTTTATAGGTACGCCGACTGTCCTTGGATAGTCGCACATCCAAGTACTAACTGCGGGCGACCCTGCTTAACTGCAGATATAGATACACAATAGTGAACCTGCTAAGCCGGGCCGCTCCCCAGAAGTTTTATTGTTATCGCTCAGTGGCGGCTCGTCACTTGTGTAATAGGGAGGGCTGAGTATAAGGGCACCAAAAAATCAATACCAAAATCATTTAAACTTAAGCGGCTGAATACGAGGCTTTTTAATTCCGTTACTTTCATGATAAATAATTATTACGAAGATAAATAAACAACACCACACTAGCTCAACATAGCAAAACAAACCACAAAAACGATCGTCATATGGGCTGACTGAACTGCGCCCGCCAACGCATGAATCCAAAATGCCTAATTTCTTTCCAATACTCCGCGATCTACACGTTAGCGTCTGTAACCATATGGGAACCGATTCGCTATGGGCTGCTGGTACTACGCCGGTACAATAATTATAGCGCGCATTTATTATGATAGAGAAAAACTGTATTATTCGTATTGTACAGGTCCGGCTCGTCCGTAGCTAATTAAATTGTTCGCTCACAAACTTTATTATTGCATTTATTTGTGTTTGACTCTTTTATTGTTAATAAATTTAGGAGTTCAATAAAATTAGTGATTAAGTATATGGAAATACTAATTTGCAGATGACTCTTGCTACTGCGCAGGGAGGGCGGCACCCCAGCGCCCTCCCTTCACCAGCCACCACTGGTATCAGTATATTTAATGTTATGACTTTCTATAAGAGTCATTATTTTTTCTTTCTTAATGTTACAAGATAAGGTGTTATGAAGAATGATAAAATCGTAGTGTCATCAGCAAATAAAGTGAAATTACTTTCAATCTTAAGTCATTTATATAAAGGAATAAAATGGAACTCAATACAGAACCCTGAGGGACTCCCCAACTTGTATCTAAAACTTGAGTCCTTAGTAGTTCTTACCATTTGCTTTTGTTCTGAAAGAAAAGATTTTTTCAGCGATTCGTCCTCGATTCCGTAAACTCAAAGTTTTGCAACAATACTGTACGATTGACACAATCAAACGCCTTAGTCAAATCACAGAATATCTCCGTTACAGCTTCATTAAAATTAATTTTAGAGTAAGCAAGATCAAGATAAGAAAATATAGTAATAAAAAATAGGAGGAAAGAGGAGGCGCTTCCGTTCTGATAATTGATATAGGCAACCAATAATGCGCGTGCGTTGTGGAGCCGCTACACATCGCAGAGCTGTACCATTTTTGATTAAGTCGGCAGGATCGTTTAGCGTTCCATTGGTGGGAAGCTCAGTGATACAGGCATCATACACACAGAGATCGAGAAAATAGTCAAAACGAATTCAGGGGACTCCAAAATGTAAAAATCCATCAAGAACTCGAGGTCAAATAAATCATGATTCTTATACTTACCTTCTGTATACAGACAGGAAAGTAAAAAACGAGAGGATGTTACATCAAAATCCAACGCTGGACTATTATCATAAATTCCATATGAAAGGTCCGTGTTAAATTATTACTCAATGGCTGCGTTCATCCACGCCACATGCTACCTGATCGATCTGGTAGCGCTCTCGAGTGGCACGTATGAACGGTGTATTTTGACATTTCGCTCAAGGAGCGGCCGCCATAAAAAGTAGCGCATTTTATTTACGTCTGATCGGTGATCACTGATCTGTCTTATGCACTTACGTCCACGGTTTGCTTGGTGACTAGTAGGGTTATATTAGCATATTAGCAATTGAAAAATAAACAAACAAATCTTCAACCAGAGACATTCAACTCAAAAATAAAATGAATAAACCAAAATCAAATGTCACTTTTAAACATGGTTCATCCGTGCATAAAGATCGATCAGGTAGCGTAAGTGATCGCTACTTTTGTAGCGCTCCTTGAAATGGCGCGGATGAACGCAGCCATTGCTATTAAGACTTTTTTGGTACAATTATTAGACAAGGAGACAACATAGTTCTGTAACTCCTACACCTATTTAATTTAAGAGAGCATTAAAAAATATGTTATTAACATTATTTAACATGTAACTAACATGACAGCTTCTTGGGTCGGTATTATTTACTACTAAGTACATACCTCGCCTCTGGACGAAAAATCTCTTCCGCAATACTGGCATTTATAGGGTTTTTCACCGGTATGCGTCCTAAGATGCCGATTCAAAGAATTTATCATTCTAAATCTCTTTGGACAATATTCACAGTGATAATTCTTCTCGCCAGTGTGTAAGCGCATATGGTAAGTTAAAGCATTGGCATAATTGAAATCTTTTCCACAAACGTTGCACAGATAAGGCCTCTTATTCGAATGAGTAGTCATGTGGACTTTAAGATGGGCCTTGGTGGTATAGGCTTTGTCACAAAGCTCGCATTTGAATTGTTTGTCAAAGTGTTTTAGTTTGTGATTTACAAATGCTAAAAAAGGAACTAGTTAAATAATTTATCAATCAAAAAGTTAAACACATTGTCTTGTTCGCCTCATATACTTACCTGATCTAGTTTTGCAAATATTTCCGCAAATTTCGCATGTGAAAGTTTTCTGATCCTGATTCATGTGGGTCCTTCTTACATGACTTTTTAAAGAATGTCTCGACTGGTACACATTTTTGCAAACCTCACACGGAAATTTGACTTCTTTTAAAAATGCATCTGTTGTTTGTTCCCTACTTTTACCTCTTCTTCTGTGAGTTGATATAGTGGAAATGTCGCCTCCACCATCAGGTAATTTGGTTCGGTCTATTATTAGAGATTCTATGGAGTCTTTATCATACATATCGATTTCAATGTATTCTAAGTTGTCATTATCAGAAGTTTTTTGAGAATCGCTTTCAGTAGAATGTTCTACAAATAGTATCTAGATACAAGGTTATTCAAAACAAATAGTAGTGATTCAGGACTGTTTGTTACGACACTAAATTAATACATTTATTTTTAATTTCTAAATCATCAAATTCAGTACTAAATTTAGTTACTAAAAATGAGTTGAAATGTTTTTTAATTATTTAATAATTTTTGTAGTACTTACAGAAAATAGTACAGTATATCTAATCTAATACAAACAACTGTAATGAGATATAAAATGTAAAAAAAAGGAAAAACAACACCACCTGACGATAAAATAAAACTTAAGACGCCCTAGTCTGATTAATAAATGCACCTTGTGCAGAAGTTTTTTACAGATTATAACTCTTTAAAAGTTGAGAATTGACAACGGACTTGTTTGTTGTTTCAGGATTTGAGTGTTTTAATCTTTCAGATCCAATACCCAAAGGAACCATTACCAGAGCTGGGAGTAACGAAACAAAACCGTTACTAGTAATTTCGTTACTTTTTTAAATCAGCGAAAAGTAACGGTAACGGCGTTACTGGCGTTACTTTTTCAAAGTAACGTAAAATCGTTACTTCGTTACAGTAACGCGTTACTTTAAAAGTAACGAGTTACTGCAAAATGTAAATGAGTAGAAAAACTGCAATAAAAAAAGTTTCAGAATTTTGGTTAAAAAACAAGAGGATTTAAGAGGAGAATTTCAAAATAAAAGTTTTTTTGCACTACTGCAGACATTTGGTCTTCCAAAACACGCAGTTAAGCTATTGCATAGCTTTTATCGCGGGCTTTGAACGCGGCGACCGAATAAAGAAATTCTGTAACGACCGTAACGAAAATAAACCTAACACCCCCCACTCTAACCGGCACAGCGGTGCGGCGTTGAATTTCGTTGAAGGTTTTATCCGAATCCGACCCTAATACGAATTAGTATGAAGCGGAGTTAAATATACGTCTGCGGACTGGAACGTTTATGCAATACAAGAACTAGAAGAGCTTTCTCTGGCTTCTAATAAATTGGTATCACAAATGTTCCTGGCTGGCGTAAATATTAGATATTAATTTTTTTTTTCAAGATTTATAAAATATTAATTTTAAGCTATTGCATAGCTTTTATCGCGGGCTTTGAGCGCGGCTACCGAATCAAGAAATTCCGTAACGAAAAAAAAACCTAACACCCCCCACTCCGACCGGCACAGGGGTGCGGCGGAATAACCTACATGTATAATTGTAAGTTAATAAAAATATTTTAAACAATATTAACTTCTCATTTATTCAATAAAAAAAAATCGAAACATCGAAAAAAAGAAAAATTGAAAAATCGAAAAATCCCAAAACCGAAATATCGTAAAAACACCCACCACTCCGACCGGCACAGCGGTGCGGCGTTGAAAGCTGTGCATCGTCTAACGTCGTTTCAGTTCGGCAGACTTCAGCACAGTGTTTGTGTGCGTGCGACTAGACGTATGCTTGTAGACTAGCTGCTAACTGCTCATAACTAATTCTATCTTTTAGACACAATTTCGGAAAATTGAATTTGAAAATGAATAATAATCCACAAGAATCCACAACAAAATATGGGACCACCATTGACGAGGTATTTTCCAGATATTTAGAGGATATCAAGTCTCAAACTTAGGTTTCTTATTTCAGTTACCATAAACCTATAGTTTCAATGATAAAAATCCTGAATGGCCTACATGTATTGTAAGATAATAAAAATATTTTAAACAATATTAACTTCTCATTTATTCAATAAAAGAAAAAGTTTGTTTTCTTATCGGTCACCAGGTCACCATGCTCAAAAAGTGTAACTTGAATTAATATCAAAGAAAGAACTTGAATTAATATCAAAGAAAGAACTTGAATTAATATCAAAGAAAAAAATACTGCATAACTAAAAAATTATAATTGCATAAGTTGATAAAAAATGCTATGCAATAGCTTTACCGCGGCAGTACCCGAGTGCTACACGTATTTTTTTTTTTAGTAATGGTCGCAGGTCTGACAATTACAATATCTATAAAAGAGCGACCGATGTACGTACATCATGTTCATTCTCGTTTTTTAGTCTTTTCTCAAAACACTATTTTTTTAACGCTCCAAGCGCTGCAGTTGAAGTTCAAGTTGAACTAGTTCAGTTATAACATTCGAACTAATTCATTCAGTCCTCACAAAAGAATGGTTCATTTTAATAGTTTATTCGCGAACTACCCATCTCTCTCTCTCTGTTCATGAATGTGCACTGCCGACGAGGTGACACATAAAACAACGTTCCCAAATAATATTTAATAGTACGTTGTCATGTCACCATAAAAATACAGGGCTTAGATGAAATGATTAGATTTTTTAAATTGCACAAAAGGGGGACAAGTCAGAACACATGTTAAATCAGGACTAGTGGTTTAAAATCGGGATGGATGGTTACTTTATAATAACATCTTAAATCTGTCAACTTCATAATAAAAATTTCAGCAGAGATTGTGTCACCTACTGAAAAATTAATTATATGCTAGTTCGGTGTGATGTCATTTTGGTTCCACTGACATTTAATTCTAACCAAACTTTTAACGAAAACATCAAAAAATTTGACATATACGTTTTTACTGTTTTTAGTTTATTTCTAAATATTGTTTTACAGGTCATACAAAATAGTTTAAAGGAATTTAATTGGTAACTAAACGTTTGCATATTTGATTCATGTTATCTACTTTAGGAATATATTTATAAAAGTGAAAAAAACTATATAATTTTGGTAAACAAAACGAACAAAACGCACCCAAAAATCTACTATCACTTTAATTGTCAGTGGAACCATAATTACATCATCACTGAACTAGCGTATTGCAGATGGAAAAATTATGTGAATAAAAGGTATTTTAAGTTCTAAACTTGGTTGCTTAATTTAGGTCTAAATTTAGAAGTGTAGTGACAAATAGCCCTTAACAAAAAGTATGAGTGATTTTTAAATTGATAATGTTATTTAATAGTTAAAAAAAATACCTTCAATTTCTACATTATCTTGATCTTCTATTTGCTTAATTTTTATTTTATTTAGAATTTCATTATCTTCATTTGTGTGATCTTCATCATTTGATTCTACAATGAATTTAATACTTTCTTCTCCCTCTTCATTTTCATCATTACTATCATGCATCTCTTGCATTTCTTCTTCATCAGATACGACTTTTAAAACGGAAATATTATTTTCTAAGTTTATATGGTTTTCCTTCTTACTAACAATAGTAGCAGATATTTCTTTACCCAAATTTTGAATGAAACCTTTATAATCATGGGTTTCTTTTACTGTTTTTTCTACAACTAAAATTTCATTGAGGTTGAACTTTTTGTCCTTAATAATCAGTTCAACTTTAAGAGGATCATTGGGGTCATATTTAATTTCTTCAGTCAAGTAATCTTCTTCATTAGCAGATTGTGGGTCATCATTAGAATCACATTCAAGTTTAATGCTTTGGTATGCTGGAGTGTCACTTTTAAACATCTTTTGTAATCTTTTTTGAGACTTTTCATATTGTGTAATGAATTCCAGAGACATTTTTAAAAAGCTAACACACATTGGACAGATGCTTTCAGGATAGTGACCATTTAAGTCAACCTTTGAAAAGAAAGAGAACAATTTTTTAGCTTGATACCTTCACACTTTTAATTTTTATCAAATTATATAAAACCCTTGAACACTTGAAATCTTCACTGGAAAGACAAAGAGGCGCAACTCCAATTTAGCTAGGAGACGCAATTAAACTTTTTATGTATAATGCCTTGCTTATGCATATTAGTGCATTTAATAATCAACTATACTATGTTAACTATAAGGAGGAGAAATAAGCACGTTTGTCACATCATAGATATCAACTTTTAACATATTTGTGATGGTCTTAATTCAAATTGGCCTTTTTTCGACTTACGTCCCTTTGCCTTTCTAGAAACAAAATGTTTGAAAAAGTAAATAACCAGAATCTTAAGAGGATATAGGAGCAAATGGGTGTGGTGGGTGGGTAAAAAATCCATAAAATAGAACTAAATTATGTGTTTGACCATAAAATATTTTTTATTACAGGATTTCTCCAGTAGGTAATTAGAAAAAAAATTGTATTAAAAAATATTTTTCTGAACAAACCAACAGAACTAAAAAAAATCTTGTGGCAATTTTGGAGAAACAAAAATACTTAAATGTAGTACCTACATTATTTTTTTGAATGCATGAATGATCATATTGTAGGTATTTGAGAAAATTGAACAATAAACATTTTATTATATACCTAATAATAATAATAATCTAGAATACAATGTTTAGGAGTAAAATAATTTGTTATTCGATGGCTCAATCAAAAACCGCCAGAAGTCAAAAAAAAAAAACAAAGAAAACGACATTGTTGGTTTAATGGATGCAAAATATCATTGAGTTTATATTTTAAATACCACCACAAACCAAAATTTCCTTAGAGATGCCCGAAAATCATTTAAAATCTAGCCACATACTGTATCTAAAACTGCCTCAATTCAGGTTATTTTCTGCAAAAATATCCAATTTTAACAGCAAAATGTCGTAGCTTTTAAAAAAATATATAAAGATTTTATGCCAAAAACAAAATAAAAATGATAATAGAGACTTACAAAATTTTAAAACTAAATTTCTCAAATCAATAGCATTTTAGTTGTGGCAGTATTTGATTGAGCCATCCTATACTAAATAATTACAAATATGCATACCTGTGAAAAAGTAACTTTTTCCAAAGCCTCCAAATAGGTTTCAGCATCATAATTATCTCCTGTTAATTGATCTACTAATTTAAACATAATATTATTGCTCTGAGTCAGGCAAATTCGGCACATAGATTTAATCTTGGTTCCCTCTTTGTATGTATTTCTCGTTTTCGGCATTCTATTTGAAATTTCGTGTTCAATGTAAAAATCGGAAAAATTTGAATAGTCGATTTTTTAACTTTTATAAAATCTATTATGCATTACACGCTACAAAATGGCCATAGAAAAATAGGCATTTTCACAAATGACATATTTGACACAATTACGTTGCACGACTTGTCAATTGAACGACATAAATGAAGGTATTAGACCAGCAAAAAGAAGATCCTAACGAATTGTCAACCATCGCGTTATTCTTCTTTTTAACCATAAGAGTTCTTATTTTAATAGATTGTACAGTTTATTTGTAATTAATTTATAAAAATTGCGAAATTAATATTGAATTATTGACTGTCCTGTTTTTTTCTTTCGTTTTGATAATCTTTCCACAATTAACATGATGCCTATTAACATGTCTTCTCAAATTACTAGAATCTCGGAATCCTTTGTTACAAAATGAGCAAATGTGAGGCGTTTCTCCTGTATGCTGTCTTAAATGAACCTTCAATGTACTGCTATAGGCAAAAGTTTTGCCACAATAAGAGCAAATAAAGGGCTTTTCTCCACTATGAATCCGTAGATGTTCTTTTAAATGATTAGATTGTATGAAAGATTTATCACACTCTAGGCATTTAAAAGGTTTATCACCTGTGTGGGTCAGGATATGATTGTTCAAACCACTTTTTTGGTAGAACTGTTTATTGCAATGTGGACAATGATAAGATTTCTGCCCAGTATGTATTCTCATGTGAACATCAAGATATGCTTTCATAGTAAATTTCTTTTCACAAAAATTGCAATTAAAATTTCTTTCACTAGAATGTGTTGCAATATGATTTACCAAACAGGATTTTTGATGAAAGCCCTTGTTACAATGTGTACACTGAAAAACCTTCTCTCGAGTGTGAGTTAAAAGGTGCCTTTTAAGATCATTACTTTGTCCAAACGATTTTTGGCACTTTGTGCAAGAATAAGGTTTGACACCAGTGTGGCCTCTGATGTGTCTCTCTAAATGAGAGCTCTTGATGAAATTTTTTCCACAATAATTACAAAGGAATTTTTTTAGTTCTTTTGAATGTTTATGTATTCTAGAGTGGTTTGCATGGGATGCTTTTGTATAGAAAATCTTATTGCATAACTTACAATCTAGTGAAGAAGTTTTTTTTTTAATTGAATTATTTTTTTTCTTCAATGATTTTTCTGCCTCATCATGCTTTATTTTAGTTTCTTCGAAAAACGTATCATCAGTATGACTGGAATTGGACATATTTAGTCTTTCTGCGTTTCTGTTTGCATAAATTTTCTTTAATGCCGTTTCTTGGTTTTTGCATTTTTCAACAAATAAGGATAAATTTTCTAATTGAGTGATACACTTTATGCATATATTTGATGGTAATTTTTCGTCTTTTTCAATCTGAAAAATAGATCACATCTTCACCTGAACTGAACCACCCCTATGATTAAAATATTAATGTTACCTCAGTTTTTATTAAACACATGTAAAAATTATATAAGTTTATGGGAAATGGATGAACAGTTTGGGTTAGTAAACAAACACGGCAAATTCCATCGAAATCTTTAAAAGAAATTGTATCAATCATTTTTGTTGCTTATTTAATTAGGTTATATGCACCACAGAACACTTATTCTTAGAACGGTAACTCCATGTTAGAAAACACCGATAGAATTTCAGCGCTACCTGGTGGACGTGGTTGATTTTTTTAAGTAAGTCCTTATTAGGTAAGAGGCCATATAAAAGATGAGAAAAGCGCGGGGCCATTCAAATTTGACAGAGCATTCCCCAAGGCACATTGCTTAATAATTTTTATAAACGACATTTCAAACAGTTGTGAAACATCATATAAAGCTGTTTTTTATGCGGATGATGCCAATATGATCAGGGGTGGGAAACTGGTATGCGCAGGCCTGGGATCAATCAACCACGTCCGCGTGGCGCTGCAGTCGGGTGGTGGGGTAGGTGGTGGGAGTGTAAATGACAGGTGAATATTGATTTTTGTGGGGGTGTCATGGCGTCTTGGCTTAAACCAAACGTAAACTTTGTTTATTTATATTGGTGACTGTTGTATTCAGTTGTTTTCATTTCCAATTTGCTTAATTGATTTAGTTGACCACTGTTAATAAGCTTGTTTTTCCATTATAAATTTGTGCTTTTTCCGCTGTTATTTTGTGGTTTTTCATAAAGATGCGTAATTATAGAAAATGTGTACCGAATTGCCTTGTTGTGGACAACAAGATGCATCGCCTGCCTCACCCTACGAATTCACCCGATTTATTTGATATTTGTGCACTTGCTGTTCGTTGTCCAAGATTTAATAATAAAACAAGACTACAAATTTATTCCACCTTTGTAGTATGTCATAAACATTTTGAAGAGAAGTATAAAGTAGTTGGCTCTCGTCGAGGTCTAACACCTGAAGCATTTCCAACGCTATTCCTACCAGCAGTTCCTGGAAGAGTAGCGGATGGACTTTCCTCAAATAACGTAGAAATTGAATATGTTGATCAAACACCTTCTACTTCAAGTAAAGGTTCGAAGAAGAAGCAGACTAATAATATATGTTGGACTTCTTTTCGAGAAGGAAAGTTAGTAATCTACTCATTTATTTTATACTTATACTGTGTATTTTCTAGGGATGGGCAAAACTGCTATTTTTAAATAACAGTTATAACAGTAACTGCTTTTTCTAAAAAGCAGCTTTCAAGTAGCTGCTTTTTAATAGCAGTTTATTAAATCATCGCAACATGTAGTTCGACTACTCTGCTTAAGTGTTTACCGGTATTTCATTATTTACTAGTCGATCGGTGATCGCGTTCAAATCTGTTAAGCTGTCTTATAATGTCGAGTTAAATATCAACCTGTGCCGGTGGTTCCCCAAATTGTCAAAATAAATCGACGACAACGGGAATGGTAACAATTAAAAAATTAGTCTTTGTATGCCATCACGTCCTCTCTGACGTAAGTTTTGTGTTGTTACTTATTTTCTTAAAACAAATTTATTTGCTGAAAATATTTGTAAGAGGGCACAGCATTTTTGGTCTAACCATAACTGTTATTGTACACAAAAACATAAACATCCGTAGTGCACGTATAAAATACGACATTCGCATCAGCAACTTGCCATTGTCATCGTCGCATCACGCGCACCATGCACTCACAACATAGTCACAAAGATCGGCGTATCTCAAATCGAAATATTAGTGAAAATGGTAAACTGCTATTTAAGAAGCAGCGATTTGTAATAGCCGATAGCAGTTGAAAGCTGCTTAGTTCAAATAACAGTTGTCAAATAGCAGTTTACTAAAAAGCAACCCATCTCTAGTATTTTCTGTTTCATGACATTTGGGGTTGCAAAGCTGTATCGTAGAAGAAGAAGCAGACTAATAATATATGTTGGACTTCTTTTCGAGAAGGAAAGTTAGTACTTATTTATTTTATACTTATTGCTGTGTTTGAGAATCCACATCAGATGCATTTTTTACATCTCGAGCGTTTTTTTATCCACATACCTATATATAAAACGTTTATTTAGTCAAAAAAACTATTTTTTACATGTCAATACATCTTCACGTTTAAAATATAAAAAATACATAAATATAGAATCAACATACATTTAAAATGCAATAAAAAATACATAAGATACAGTACACTTACATGTCAACTATACAAAACAATAAAAGAACAAGAAAGAGAAAAAAAACATCAATAGGTGAACAGGTATTCATGCAGTTTTATTTTAAATATTGCCACATTTGAAGAACATTTAATATCCTGTTTAGGTTCATGAACATCCTGATTATAACTTAAAATATTTTGTAAATATACTCTGGAGATTCCTGATTTAATTTTAAATATAAAAAGCAGGGAATAGAATAGCAAATATTTTTTAACAGTCAACCACTGAAGCACATTCAACATGGAATTGATTGGTTCCAATCTCGAACAGCTCAGTATTATCCTCAGACCTCTATTCTGCAACTTTTGCAATCATTGCAACTCATTCTGGTTGAGCAAATACAGTATAGTGGCACAATAATTAAAATAAGGTAATATTAAGAGTATTATAAATTATTATTTTAGTCCATTTGCCGAGATGTGGAGAACAGCGCCTCAAATAGTTTATTTTAAATCGGACACATCTGTCCCATTACATTTACGTAAACTGAATCACGTGATCAAAGATTTACTACATCTCAGTTGCATCCAATGTGGATTCTTAAACGCGGCATATACTGTGAAATTTCTGTTTCATGACGTTTGGGGTTGCAAAGCTGTATCGTAGATGTTGGACTTATTAAAAAATAAAGTATTCCTCGGACTTATAATTTTTTATTAATACATTTATTTTAATGAGATTGTACTTATACTGTCTTTCTTTTTTCACAGCTAAAGTTCTTCACAAAATGATGGACAGTGTTGTATCCTGGAATATGTAGCAGCCATCCAGCTACTTCATACATAATACAATTTTCATATACATTACATTTTTTAAATATTGGATTTGTATTATATATATATTCTTTAATAAATTTATTTTTTGAATATTCTTGTTTTTTTTATCTAAAAACTGTTAGCCAAATTAAGATTTGTTCACACAAACTGCATTTTTGCTTTATTATAGCGATATTCGCTATAATAAAGCAAAAATGCAATTTGTGTGAACAAATCTTAATTTGGCTAACAGTTTTTAATGCGGATAATTTTTACTGTCAAATTTGAATAGCACCGCGCTTTTCTTCTCTTTTTCTTTTTATTATTTTCTCTTCTTTCATATGGCCTCTTACCAGACAAGGACTTAATTGAAAAAAAATCAACCACGTCCACCAGGTGCCGCTAAAAACTCTATCATCCTTTTTTAACATGGGAGTTACCGTTCTAAGAGTAAGTGTTCTGTGAATATGATACTGTCTGAGAAATGTGTCAGTACCCTAGTAGTCACAATGGAATTTGAGGGATATTGTAAGGAAAATGGCCTTCAGCTAAATTTTTAGAAAACCTTATATATGAGGTTTCTACCTAAAAATATTACTCCTGACGAAGATTTGCTAAACTTTCTGGAAAATTAATAGAAAAAATCAATTAAATTTCTAGGTGTAATTCTTGAGCTAACGTGAGAGCTTCATATCAATACTATGCTCAAAGCTGAGTAGCACCTGCTTTATTTTGAGAAGTCTTAGGGATAAAGTTTCCATTATCATCTTGCGAATATTATATTTTGAACTGGTACAATCTCAGTTACTAGTTACAGTATGGCTTGTTGGTTGGGGTTCCTCCTCACATATAGATGCAGAAGAAAATTGTAAGATGTATGGATAGAGCTCATCCATTAGCAAGCTGCCGAAACTTATTTAAAAAATATGAAATTCTAACAATGCACTCTTTATATATTTTACAATTAATACTGTATATCTATGATAAGAACCAGTTCACTTTAAACAATGAAATTCACTCATTTAATACCCGCTATAATGATATTCATGCACCCTTCTAAAGACTAAGAGCGTCAGAATTCTCCCAATTATATAGGGGTTGTTTCAATAAAATGAAAAAGCTTATTGACTTAGTCCGCTCAAGGAACAGCATAAAGAATAAAATTATTAACTTCCTCTACAATAACACATTTTACAATATTGATGAGTCCCTCAATTCTTGAACTACACAATGAAGGTATCATAATCTGTTATTAACCAGGTCATTTTCTAAATTTTAAATTGTATGTTTCTTTTAATAATATAAGTAGTCTTATGTATACATTTAATAAATATGAGAGCATCAGGCATCACAGTAATGAGATAGTTTTGTTTAAAGGACAATAAAATTATATTTTTTAAAAATGTGTTTTTTTTCATTTAATTATGTTTTAATCTTTAAAAAAAGGATTGCCTATTCATAAGACCCTAGTTAAAAAAAGATGATTGATGGTACCCATTTGACTTAAGGATTAGAAAAACCCCACCTGCCATCATTGAACCGGTAACGCACTGTGATATGTAATCTACATGTTATATCAACATAAATTGATACTGCTAATTTGGCTCCTATAAAATTCTGCAATGAACCATGCAAATTAATTAAAAATGTACATGGCTTTTAGTCTAAGATTTGAAGCCGAGTGTAGCTGAACCACTATTAGGTTCGAAAATTAATACTGGCCGATCGACACACTGCACTACCGAGACATATGCTTATGACCAATGAGTAGTCAAAATTAAGCAAAATTTCGCATATTACGATTATATTTTTTCATAGCCCAATTTGGCCTTCTAGCGGCGAGTTTATGAATTTGCAAATAATTTCCAATCAATTTTAGGGACATTTGTTAAAAAATATCTCAATCTGTAGGATAATCAGCTTTTTAGAGACATGGAGCATCTTTTCTTATTAGACTACATATTTTATACAGTAATATCAAATCGCTACATATCTACAGACCATTTTGTTTAAAACATTAAGGGCTAAACGCGATTAAAAATAAAATGCAGAAATTAAACATATTTTATTTATTATCAAAATTTTTTTATTGAATTACAGCTTCTTTTAAGCTAGAATTACTTTCATTTCGATGTTTCATTTCAAGAACAGAATGGACTCTGTTAACATGTCGTTTCAAGTT